CAAAGTGCAAGTAGGAGTCTTCAAACCCTGTTTGGTTGACCTCCCAGGCCATCCATTCTGTTCATTTGTCTGCGGGTCAAAACGTGGAGCCCCAAACCAAGGCAAAGGTGGACCTTTCTGGTAGTCTATTCGGTTCATGTTTGACAAAGTGGTCCAATAATAGTTCTGGAGAGGCAAGCACAATTCTGGAAGCTCTTGATTTCACGGTGCTCTTGAAGCGAAGTGTTTGGGGTCTATTAGTAGGATGCCAACTGGAAGTTTAAAAACAAAGTTTGGCGGAGGGGTTGCGACAAATTCATGGAAGCCCTGTGGAAGCCTGTGAAATCCTCTCTATACATAATTAGAAGATATTCTTCTAACAGGTTGTAGATGCAGTTCATGTCAACCACGTTATCCCATGGGTGAAGGATCACGCTGCAGCTGCTCAAGCCCAGAGTAGCACAGAATTCCATTCATCATTTCGTTCACAGCCGCATTCGATGTATCCGGCTTCCGCTCAGTGAGAGCCGCCAGCTCAGCGTCGGTCGCCCAAGACCGCCAGGGACTCACTGTCTTCAGCACCCACGGATTTCTTCATTCAAAACCTCTTCAAACACACAGACCCAGAGCTTGGTCCCACACTCAGTGCCCCAAAACGCCGGGCACCAACACCGGCACCAACACCGCCGAGCCAGCGCCCATGCCGTCTCCCGCCGCGCCTGGCGCGCTCGCGGTGCCGAACCTGCGCGGCTCCGGAGCGTCGAACACGTCTAGGGCCTCGGTGGAGTCGACGCTAGCGAGAAAGGTGGCGAGGGGTGAGACTCCCATGGTGAGACTCTGGTGATCTGTGACCGTGATCTGTTGCGATGTATGGTGATCTGTGGTCGAAACTGATCAGGGATGTCTTTGCGGCTCAAAATAACACGACGATTTCGAAGGACATGCCACATGAGGTGAAAATCGGATTCTGGAGAGATGGCCCAAAATGGCTTTGTCATCAGGGCTCGATGGGGGCGGCGGATCTGTTTGGGATCGGGACCCGATGCAGCGAATCCGGAGCACACAGAACCTCTGAACGGACCGCGTCGCTACGGAGCTACGGACCTTACGGAGCTCAATAGCTGTGAAAGACCGGTCAGGGAGGAACTCCAAATCACTGCGGTATGTGTCAAAAGAGTGTTTGTTTGATTTTGTTGTACTAATGACATCTAATGACTAATGTTTTGCAATCAGGGGGTAGTTGCTCATCAAGAAGCAAGAATGGGAAGCACATGGAAGTGCATGGAAGCACCCATGTTTTAAAACTGAATCTTGGACCTATCTGTCACTTTTGTTGCAGGTTTTGATATGTTCTCATTATTAAACATACGTTATCTATGAAGCGGCACGCAAGGGTGTCCGAATTCACGGCGTGTTACATATTATTACACATTAAATATATATATATAGAGTACCTAATATTGTGTCCACCAGAGGTGGCTTTATTCTAGACATCAACAAACTTGAAAAAATACCGAAAAAATGCAAAAAACAACAAACCAAAAAAGCACCAGCAAAACAAAGAGCAACCAAGAAAGCAAAAGAAAACAACCAAAAAAGCACAAGCAAAACAAAGAGCAACCAAGAAAGCAACAAAAAAGCAAAAAGAACTGCAACCAATCAAAGCACAAGCAAAACACAGAGGGTAGTTTGGAGGGGCCAGGTAGGGTTAGTACTGGACAAGTGTCTTTCCTGGCGCCGGGTCAAGTGTCGCACTTTTGGTCGCTTTTTTCTGGTGCCAGGTCAAATGTCGCACTTTTGGTCGCTCTTTTTTTCCGGCGCCGGGTCAGAAGTCGCACTTTTGGTCGCTGTGTTTTCCCTTTTTTTCCGGGGCCGGGTAAAAAGTCGCACTTTTGGGTCGCTTTTGTTTCGCTCTTTTTTCGCTTTATGTTTGCATGTTTGCGAAAAATATGCTTAAAAAAGCGAGCAACGGTGTGACTTTTTGCCCGGCGCCGGAAAAATATTAAAAGAAACGACCAAACGTGCACCAGAAAGTGGACCCTCCCCCAAAAGTGCGCCAGAAAGTGGACCCTCCCTCAAAAGCGCGCCAGAAAGCGCGCCAGAACGTGGACCCTTCCAAAAAGTGCGCCAGAAAGCCCGGCTGAGTTGTTACATTTTTGATTGCAATTTTGTTTGCATGTTTGTTTGCTTTTATGATTGCTTTTGTTTCTCTGGCTGCAATTTGTGATTGCATTGTTTTTGCTCTTTTTTTGCTTTTGTGATTGCTTTTGTTTTTCTGGTTGCATTTTGTTATTGTGGTTTTCTTTTGTTTGCTCTTTTTCTAAAAATGATAAACTTCTAGAATAAAGGGGTTTGGCAGACACAAACATAATAGTACATATATACTATGATATATATATCATATATATATATATATATATATCCATTGAATCCATCAGAGTCCAGGTCCAATGTTTGGGTTTGATCGAACGCACCTGTTGCACCATGTTGCACGCTCACAGTGGGTCTTTGGAGTCCCGAACGCTAAAGCGGACGCAAAGGGTTGATGTCTTGGACAACTCCCATCCAAGTTGAATTTGTGTTGTCCAATTTGGGGCAGAAACATGTCACATTGTATATGAAGGAAGAACCATAAAATGAGCCTTGCACATGGATAACCCTTCAAAAGCTGTTCATCTTCTTTCTCTTTGTCTCCACAAGGGCAAAAAGGACAACACGTTTACCCAAACGAGTGTCATAGAAATCATGATGATTGTGTTGGTTCGACTTTTTCTTTGCATAGAGATCGATGTTTGTACGGCCCGGCCACAAATCGATGTGCGAATGCAGCAAGCCGGTTTCACCACCTTCCCGTGGACGGCCCACAAATGCGATTGCGAACAAGAAGATGCCAGACAAACTCGCCAGCAACGCAACGCTTTGGCAGATGAGGCTACTAGCTGTGCTGGTATGAAATGCACTGTACTCCTGTTGTCATGTTTGCCAATTCAACACAGCACATGCATGCAGCGCAAACAATCTTAGATATTATACTGCACATGTTGGAGCTAGTAAAACCTTTGTCAAACGATAAGCAACCAGAAAAGATTATGCAAAAAGTGGCATACGCAAAGATAGGGATGCTTTAGAAGACAAACTCAATCTCAGCTTGGCTTATGGTACGTCATACCCTTTTGCGCTGCGGGATGCAACAACTGGTTGAAAAGTATCAAAGCTGCTATTTGCATGTTGCAGGTTCAGTGACACCGATAACATATCGTGTAATATATCGTATATATGTATGTTTAGCGACAGTGAGCGATACATTGCCAGAGTACAATCGAATCTGACGGTTTGGAGTTAACTCCTTTGGAGCCTTTCAGTACATTGGTTAACTCAACGACCGCTCTATGAGGCATTGTGATGGCGACCCCTGGAAGGGGTAAGAGTGGAGGAAGCTTTGTGGTTCCATTGTGCAAGCCTATTCTGGGCAGACTTTGGTACTGAATCAACAACCATCCAGCGTTTTTGTGTTGGCATGTTGCACCTCTTCAACCTGCCTGTGATGATTCATGTCCTCCATTTGTTCTACTGTTGGTGGAAGTTGGTGGAAGATATTGTTCAAGGGCGCCCTGCAATTTCTTTAAGTTGAGACCAACAAGGGCGACCAGACGTCCGGGGCTGAAACACGTGGGATGGGATAGCTGGATAGCTAAGGAGGACAAGGAAGTGAAGGTTGTAGTGTTAAGACGCACTGGCAAGCCGCAGGCAGCGAATGTCAAAATAGGTGTTTGAACTTGTTTTTGCCTCCGGGTCGGAAACCGAACGTGTAGTCGTGCCAATTTTCACAATCGATACATATTGCACTTTTCCAATCCGGTGCCCATGCATGTCAATCTTATATAGACGATGATGACGATGACAAGGATGCTGCTGTTGCTGCTGCTGCTGTTGCTGATGACGATGATGATGATGATGCTGATTATGATGATGAATTGTTCATGAGTTGTAGATGTGACGACAGAAGATACTACGGAGGGTTCGGGGGGGGCTGGCTTCGTTCGTGTGATTAGTAGAACACGATGGTGATGACTTGTTGATGTGACGACAGAAGATGCTACGGGAGGTTCGGGCGGGGTTTGGGGGGGGTGCGGCAAACGCGGCAAACAGCTGTCCGAGAATATGTGAAAAAGGCTGCCAGCAAACGTGCGACAAACGTTCTTTGAAACCATACTATACTTATACTTTATGATCTGGAACAACCTGTTATAATGCTTTCATCCTTCGGTCACCTCCAGACGCTATCTCAAGAGTGCCAGAATGGACTCTAATGGCAGCCCAGATCCTGCCAAATCCTTCCAACCATAAAATGTCCATTAAAAAGGTAAAAAGTCATATGCTTTTCAATCTGTTTAACGAGTTGTTTCTGATTTCCTCCTTCCGTCACCTCGGGACGCTCCTCAATGCACTCCAACTGCACCCAGCCATAAAATGATCCTTGAAATCAGCCCCACTGGGCTCCTGTAGTTCGTCACAAGTGTAGTGACCAGATGTTCCACGTTTTTACATGTTCCTACATGTAAAACATGCATTCCAAAGAGAGTGCACTTCTTATGAAGTGCACAGGAAAAAAAAAGGTCGCCGATCCAAGCAGCAGAAATAACATGTTGCCTTTTTTGTTTCACATGGAGTTGGGGTACGAATCATCACATCCACCAGGCCGATGGCCTTGTACGCCCTTGGTTGATCAATAGAGGGGATGATACCCCCGGTCATGTGCAATCAATAGGCAAATGGTACCTGGCACCGACCCCTCCCTCTATTCTTCCCAAAAGGACATCACTGACATCCACAAATTAGCCTTGGATGGGACTCAAAACCATCCCTTGGAACTGCTGGTCCACTGCTGGTTGCTGATCTGCTTCTCAACCATTCTCAACCAAACCGAAACACCGTGGCCAATGGCCTCCAGCTCCAGAATGATTTTTCAATTTGGTTCGTTCTTTGGTTGTGTGGAACAAGTGGTGTCTTTGGAAGAGGCCATGTTGTGGCATTCCGGAGAAGGAGAAGGAATTTCATATATGGTTTCATGTGTTTTCCATGATTGTCAAAGTGCGCTGAGGAACTACACCATCATCAAGGAGCTGGGCGAAGGGAAGTTCGGCCAGGTGAAGGAAGTGCTTCGCACCGGGACCAAGTCGCTTGGTTCGATGGAGTGGACACTTCACTTAGTTCTTCATATAGTCTCCCGAATGGATCAAAAAGTGAACCAAATCATGGAATCTGGAAGTCAAAGTTTTTTGAAAGTTCTTTCCAGGATGCTCGGGCCGGGTTTTGTTTGGCATGTTTCAACAATGAGTGGAAACAAAATCCATTGGGAAGGGGTCAATGGTGGTGAAGAACGAGGTGTCAATTGTTAATTCACATTATTCATGATCTTTATGAGAATTCTGCAAAACCCAAACGCACCATAAGAGTGAATATATTTGGTTTGTCCTATTACCTGTAACAGTCAGTAAACGTAAACAATTAACACTATTTTTGTACAAGGTCTTTACTAACCATCATCATCTACTGTTACTGGTACTAGGACAGACCCAAGGAATATATGCCATCTATCTCCATATATGTATATATATATATATATGTGGCATGTGAGTCATTTGCACTGATTTAGATATGACCAGAATATGATTTGCCCTAAGAATCTTTTGGACCCTGCATAGGGGATGGACCCGACGTCTTTGCAGGGGTTGTACCCTCAAGACTCCATTTGAGGGTCTGGATCCGTTGGGTGGGGTCCAGTGCATACCGAACCTGAGACGCTATGTAGATCCCTAGGGATTGAATGGTGAATGGCCTGCAGATCAAACCACACAGTGCTGGAGCTTTGAGGGTGCTTGGAACCCCGAGCATCCCTCAGCTGCCAGCTCTCAGACAGCCACCAAAGCCGGAGGGTGCTCTTTTCACGTCGACGTGTGCGGATGTCTATCGGCTCGGTGTTTTCGTCCTTCCTGACGTCTTTCGAGGCAGCGTTTTGCGTGGAAGCAAGTCACATCGGAGAAGGATCCCTACTACAAAGTGGAACTGGAGATCCTCGGCAACCTGGAGCACGAGGGCATTATCGGCGTTGTTGAGGCCTACACCCAGGAAGGTGTGGTCGACATGGTGCTGGAGCTTTGCAAGATCAGCCTGCAGTTTGACATAGACTCCAGGTTTGAGCCTGCTCCCATGACCCTAAGATGGAAAAGGCAGACGTTTTACTTTCAACCAGGAGTTTCTTTGCTTGGGGTGCTGATCTCTTTTCAGACCCAAATGAGTCTCACAGCCTTCGGGTGCTCCAAAAGAAACCGGCTTCAAAAGCAACCCAAAACCAGATGTTTTTCTGCGCACCTGATACTGAAGGGGCGGCAAGAAGCAATACGTGCGCCCCTCATCATGGGACATTGCTTCGACCATGCTTCAGATCTTTAGCGCAGTGGCCTTCCTTCACGAGAGCCAGGTTGCACATCGTGACATCAAGCCAGACAATGTACTGTTGTCTACGGGTGCTTTGGCCAGTGAAAACCGGTTTGAAAATCCGACACAATATCACAGAATACATCATACTGAAGGTGAGGTAAAAATCCAAACGCCAATAATATCATCATGCTGTATTGTATGGTATGGGGTATACCGGTATACCCGTATACCATAACATCATAGTAATAGTGTACGTCATACTGTATGGCATACCGAACCCCACTGGTCACCATTCAATGGGAAGTGCCCACCATAGCTGTGCTTTGATGCTCACTTTCAAACACACGACGTGATCCGCTTTTGGGTCGACGCCAAGTCTTAACACCTGTTGGCATGGCCACATGGAGAAATACAAGAGACGTCTTCGCATGGCTTTACCCATTTGCAGCCGACCGTGCCTTGCACATAGAGGTGCACCAGATATAGATGTATATGGCCGTGGATCAAAACCAGGGTACCCTGGCTGACCAGCAAGAGTGAACAGAACAGACTACCAGACAGGGTCAACCGACCAGGGTTTTGAGCTCCAGGTTTTGACCCACTGCCACACACACACATATTTATATATTATATATATATATGTATATTATATATACATACCAGCCAAAGGCATAAATTGCCTACTGTTGTTGGAAGATCCAGGTATATGATACCGATGATATATGTATTATACTTACATCAACCAGGCAGGTCCTTGAATGTCCATTCTTTGAGAAAACCTCGCAGTTCAATAATATTTTGGTAATGCAAGAGTTATCCCAACCCATGGATTCACTGCCGCCCTTTGAGAGGGTGATGTATTCGGCACTTTCACCAAATAGCGATGGTCTCCAACCCAATAGACTCCAGGCTCCAAAGAAACTGGTGATACAAGAAACTAATTGTAATGGCCTCCAACCTAGAAATTCTGGCCTCCAACCTAATAGCAATGGCCTCCAACCTAATAGCGATGGCCTCCAACCAAATAGACTCCAGGCTCCAAAGAGACTGGTGATGTAACTAATTGCAATGGCCTCCAACCTAATAGCGATGGCCTCGAACCTAATAGACTCCAGGCTCCAAAGCGCACACAGGCACCATACTTCCTATACTTGAAGCATGAACCCCCCCATAGCTCGCGCTGTTTGTGAAAGAACAAAAACAGCTTTCTAAGACCTGCGTGGTCTGACCAGTGTGCCTGGCTGGAGATCGAGAGTGGGTCGTGCAGGGTAGCCGTCCGACATGCTCAAAAGCCCTGAATTCGAAGTGCCATGGACCACTCCCCTTCCTTCCGCCATGTTGGGGTTTTTGGGCCGCCGATTCGGGCGAGAAGTGGAGGTGGTACGACCACCACGCGTCAGGCGAACGTTGGAAATTGGCGGATTTCGGCCTGGCGTCGCGTTTCAAGAGCGGAAGCTACATGGAGGAAGTGGTGGGCACTCAACCCTTCAAAGCGCCTGAGGTGGAGAAAGGGTACTATACCGAGAAATGCGACGTCTATAGCATCTCGGATCAGATCGCCGCGGTTTGAAGTCAAAGAAACACAGGTCCGGTCCGACAGGCTTCAACCGGTCCGCAGCACCGGCATCGAAATCGGGGTCACCGTGCGGTGGGTCTTCCCCACCCCGCCGCGGACACCTCCAGAGTCTGATGGACCTCGAGACAGGACACCTCTATGGATCGGTCCAGGTCGTTGTGATGAGAGGATTGCATTGTCTTCCCACATTCGTTGTGAGGCATTCTCTCCGAACCTGGTGAGGCATTCGTTTTCCCAGACGCTCCATGTATGGCATATTTGCCTACATTGGGTGAGTTTGCGGGGTCAATGTAGGCATACATTCATATTTATATTATATATATATTCCATACATGGAGCGTTTGGGAATAAAACAGAGCGCTGAGCCAGGCGCTTTCAGCGAGTTGACGTGCTTCTCCGATGACACCTCAGGTGACACCTCTTTTGGCTGAAGACATCGAGTCCTTGCTACTAGTAGCGATGGGTACCGTTTTGTTACTAGTAGATGAGCACCTATCAACACCTGTCCTTTACCGCATGTAAGAGGTTTAGATGGCTCATGTGAAGACATTTGTTGCAGGTGACATAAAGTTTGATGCATATACCGTACCTATTTTTGCGGATCAGGTGATGTTTTCCCGAACTGGCTATATCCCCATACCTGTGGACTATGTGTGATTCTTCCCCGGTTCCTAAGCAAAATCCAAGTATAAATCGGCACCTGCCAATTAGAATCTTCACCCGAGTGGTACTCCCACCAACCCATTTGCACGCACGCGTCTCTTCGGCGTTTTGCGTCTCTTCGGCTGCTGCTTTCGGCTCGTCGACGGCGTCCACTCGTGGCGTCCACTCGTGGAGTCGCCTGAGTCGACTCGGACTCCCCAGGTCCCGTCCAAGGTGTTTTCCGTCGACGATGTGTGCAGTCTAATAAACCGCCATTTTCATGCAATTCAACGGTTGTCCCCTCCGCTCTATGTGTCAGGCACACATGAAATAGACGTTGTTTAGCAACGGGATGTAGCAGGTTGAAATGCCTGTAATAATTGCAGAACATTACTATATAGATCTATATAGATTGTGTTTTTTGCTGTTGTTGTTGTTGCTGCTGCTATTGTTGTTGCTGCTATTGTTGCTTTGATCAATTCCAGGTTAGACACGCTAATCCCAAGAACGACTTTTGTCGCAAGATCCGATCCGGGAGAATTTACCAACTCCAGCATTTGGTTTGGATGAAGCTTCACAGGAGCTGGTGGTATCATGCCAATATCAATGTATAATGAATAGCAATTCTCATTGACAATGATAATAGTACAACAGAGAATTAGCAATAATTTGGTTAATACGTATCATGTTTGTGTACATTACGCCCCGGTGGGGGCCATAATAGCGAGTCCCATTGTTCAAGTGGATTACAAATACACTGGCCAGATGAAAGTTGCGCTTGTTGATGTTGAAACTCATGACAACCCTATCCCCCTAGAATCCTACACCAGGAGACAAGGGAAGGTGTGGGCGGTCATTTGTTACCCCGGAAAGCCTTTTATTATTACAATTTTAAAACGGTGTGATAATTGACCGTCCCATACCTGCCACGAAAATTAGACTTGTTAATTCGATCCGCCGCTGACCTCAGAGTGTTTTGTAAAAAGGCTAACAAGCGTAAACTTTTCTCTGCCTGAAGGGCAGCTCAGAGCAAAAATGTAAAAAACATGCATCCGTTCAACCTCTGCTGTTAATTATATCTGTAAAGAGGACAGAGTACTTTCTAGATTGACATTTCACTTACAAAACAACCAATCAGTTACCTGTCAATGCAACACCCCTTTTTTAACGCACTGGCCAGATGAAAGTTGCGCTTGTTGATGTTGAAACTCATGACAACCCTATCCCCCTAGAATCCTACACCATGAGACAAGGGAAGGTGTGGGCGGTCATTTGTTACCCCGGAAAGCCTTTTATTATTGTACAGTAAATTTAAAACAGTGTGATAATTGACCGTCCCACACCTGCCACGAAAATTAGACTTGTTAATTTGATCCGCCGCTGACCTCAGAGTGTTTTGTAAGAAGGCTAACAAGCGTAAACTTTTGTCTGCCTGAAGTGCGGAAATGTTTTGAGTACATGGAACACACGCTGACCACTGGACTTGCTCGCCAGTTATCGAGAATCGCACGACCCGAGACACGAAGCATCATGTGGCCCGGGTGGCTCACAGAAGGTTGGTGAAAGACAAAGGGAAGCTCTATACCTAGACCATCCATGGGGTTGGACAAGTTACTTACATTGGGATCATGCTTTATATGATCTGGTGAAGAAAAGACTCAAAAAGATCTACGGACGCCTGAAACGGGGCCAGCAGGCCTGGACAGACAAAGGTACGTTTCAGAGTAGATGGCACAAACCCAAAGATGTCTTTCATATGGGGGCCCATAATATAAACATCCTTCTGGGGATTGTGCCATCTATATACTTAGGTTGAAACCGACAAGATTTCTATTTTTCCACCTAAGATGGGCTGTGCCACTACTGGACTTGAGACTCGTGGCGGTATTTCTTGTATTTTCTTGTTGCTATTGATTTCTTGTTGGCATGGCGCGAGAATCGAGAAGCCCTACTGCCATACAGCAACAGCGGGGGCATGAAGGAAAGCTTATCCCGGTTGGTGTTCCGGAGGATCTACTGCATGGATCCAATTCTATTTACACGTTTCGTTTAGACAAGACAGCATGAACCCCCACCCTCCCAGTTCCGCCCCGCCTTCCCCCGTTCCTAATGACTGGAGTCCCGAGCACAGATCCGAGGCACAGGAGTGCTCTTTATCGCGTTGGCCACGGGCAAAGAATGGTGGCGGCCCGAGAGTGTCTCGGAGACGACGAAACCGTGTCCTCGACCGACGACGTGTCGAGGACGTGTCAAGCGAGGGATGAAGCGAGTTTTCCGACACGTTTCTCCGGGACACGGGTGCCGACACGTTGGGAGCGAGCGACACGTTTCTCCGGCCTGCCGACATCAAATGAAGATCGGGTGGGAGTGAAGGGCTGTGACGGAGATCCATCCTATCGGGACGGTCTGGAAAAACCAGGTGACCCCGACAGGTGCCGGTGCTGGGATCTCATGGGATTTCACCACCCCGAGCTGTTTGGGACTGCCAATGGTACGACGAATTGGCCCGGCCGTTTTACAAGGGGTCAATGGGGGCGGCAGCAGATTCCAGTTGCATGGAGTGGAAGTGGCACCGGAGTCACCGATGACGGCATCCACCGGCATCCACTCCCATGTTTATCCATGTTTGACCATGTGACCGTGATATTTTTGGGACTCCTGGGCAAAACGGAGGACGGCCGGACAAAAAGAATGGTGTTCTCCCAAGAACGTCTGAGCTGCTGTCACATAAAAAAAAAATATATAACATATATATATATATGTTTATAGTGTTTTAATTTTAAAAACATAAAAGAACAGACACCGGTTCTTCAACACGGTTTCAGACGCCATTTTATGGCATGATCTGGTTAAATTGTTGCAGTAATTATTCAAATCTCAGTGAAGACAAAGACTTCCAAAGTCTTCACTCCGTTCAGCCATTGAAATGATCCATGGACCCTGCGTCAGAGCCTGATTCTCCGAACAGCTTGATGGTCCACATTACTAAGACACCACCGGCGTCCAACGCCCTCCCGAGATCTTGAAGATGAGACAGCCAAAGAGAAGGCGATCGCGCTCATGGCGCCAGAGACATGGAAAGACTTGGAGTTGCTGGGCAGCGGTCCGACGCTCTCGCTAAGCGTCGCCTCGGAAGCCGACTCGACGACTCGCGAGTCGCCGACTGGGGCGGCTGGACTTCGTGGCCTTCGTCGACTCGGTTCTCTGGTCGACAAGGTGTCGTCCGGATCCCCCTTCATCAGGGTAGGTTGACCTCCTTAATAGTCCATTCTGTTCATTTTGGTAGTCAACTCAGGTAGCCCGGTGCCAGCTCCCCACAGCCAAATCAGTCCCCCAAAGTCTCGGGCCCAACTTCATGCCGAAATCCAGTTCGACTATTGAAGCTGAAATCAAGTCATTCATTCCTTTATTGATTGTTGCTAGTAGCTTCTTGCTACTAAGTAGTAATGGCCTCCAACCTACTAGCGATGGCCTCCAACCTATATAATAGTTTCTTGCTACTAGTAGTAATGCCCATGTTACTATGAGCGATGCTTTGACTCCCAAACATCCCCAACACTTCATGGGACTGCCATAGTTCTGCCGCCCCAGAAAGACCCCGGCCTTTCAACCACCCCGGCCGTCCCATGGAGTGTCTTGGAAATCCATGCCAACGGGGTTTTTGTGACTGTGACCAGGGCCTCAGGCCGCCTTGACGGACCTCAGGCCTCCAATGGCGTCAAACAAATACCGAACATATCCGAACATATCCCAAACCCTGCAGATGTAGACCAACTCCTTTCGCCAAGACCTATGAAGTCCAACATGTGTTTTTGACACCGGCCACCAGCGATCCGAGCCACAGGTGAGATCTGGTCTTTTTATTGAGATCCAAGGGCACGAGTCACAAGCCTCAACTAAAGACCTAGTCAATCGCTCGTCTTCGCTCACCTGAACCCTTAGGGAACGCCCATCTCAGCTGGGCCGGAAAGCCCTCATCAGAGGACAGTGGTTTTTGGTCCTCGAAATCTGTGTCCGCCTGCCGGCCTGACGTTGACTCTGTCCTGGAGCCAGGCTTTAGGCAATAAACCCTCCGGCTCATTGAGATGGAAGTGAATTACTGGTGTCTTTGGACGGTAATATACAAGATGTTTATATACCTGGTTGAACTTAGATATGAATGGTCCCTTGGAAGACCATTTTCCTCTGAGAGAAAGGGCGTTTTCCACGGAACCACGGAACCACGGCGAGTCGGACATGTCGCCCTCACCCATCTGCAGCAACCCGTTGCGGCGTCGTGCTGACTTCTTCTGAGGCTCGGGCACGGTGCCTGGGAGTTTGCTGAGAGCATGGTGTCCTTGGAACCGGAACGTTCTCATGCAGAGGACGCCCTGCAGAACCCATGGCTGGTGCGGAAACACTCGGGAGGCTGTTGCGCAGTGAGTTAGATGCACCACGACTGGCGCCGAACGGTGAAGGTGTGTCCAGGTATGTCTGGATGTGCCACTAGCCACTAGCATGTCTTTTTTGGATCCCACTCTTGGAGAAAGTGTGGGACACGCTTAATTATTAATTGCAGCATGCAGCATGCTCAATTGTCCTACACAGTTGAGAGATGATCACTCAAATTGCTGTTGAGCTACATGTGTGCGTTTTTTGCTGTCAAGTTTCAGAGAACTTGACGTGAGCATACGTGAGCATTGCTGATCTGCTGATCCTCTTGCCATTTAATTTTCGCTGGGAGAAATGATGAGTCATTGAGGTGCTACCACATGATACCACTACCAGCACTAAGCCACTAGGAAGTCAATACCACACGTCCGGGTGGTTCACATCGCTTTTTTGGTTCGGGAAACCGGGAGCGGCACCTTGACCGTCTGACTCTCCCAGTGTTGTTCAGAATCATTCTGGGTGATCCAGAGATCCCTACCCAGGAAAAGTGGATCACAACATATCACAAAAAATGATCAGATGGAAAGTGTTCAGAGTCTGTGGTCTGAATGGATGGTGGAACAGGTGAACAGGTGGACAGTTTGGTGGTCAAGCCACGGACGAAAGCAGTTTTTTTTCAGGCCATTTCAGGCCTAACTGTTTTGCTGACGAGAACCGGTTCAGGAAAACGGCATCGGGAGTCAGTCTTGACCCAGCAGGAACATGTTGTGCATGTTGGGGCTCGTAAAGTTTCAGGACACCATCTTCGTGATTGTTGAGAGTTTCGGTTTTGCAGGGTCCCGAACCCTCCGAACCTTGAACCCCGAGTTTTCCACCGTGCTCCAAAAATGTACAGAAGAAAAAACATTATGACTGATTTGGACTGTCCATTTGCATACCACCTTGGTTAGCTTGCATGCCAACTGTCACGTCTGCACACTATACTTTGTGATATCCACCTACCTCACAAGGCCACCAAAACAAAACACCATGGACACTCGTGGAACATTTGGTATTGGGTAAACAATTAGCAGTTGTGCTTGTCCTTGTGGTTTGGTTGAGCTGACACAAACTTGCAGCTGGAGGTCAACAGAAAGACAAACAAATCAACGGACCCTTGTGAAAGTATATATATTTTAGTATTGGGTAAACCATTTGTGGTTTTATACGGCGTGTATATCGCTAAAGCTCATGGCTCTGAGCTTTACCTAACTCGACCTGAGTTGTTCTTTCAATCAATCCTTCGTTACACTTCAGCAAGTAACATGGAGGTGGAAGCAGTAACAGGTTTGCGTGACGCCATTTGCGCAAACACTTCGTATCTCACTCGGCCATTGTCTTTGTGTGCGGCCTCTTCAGGCCGGCCGAAGTATCTCCAGCAAGTCTGAGTTGAAAAAGGAGATAATTACAGTACTGGCATTCAAATGTGAGCAAACTCAAAATGAATGTGTCTTTCTCCTAACGATCTCCGTTTGTCTCAGGGCCTCCTTTACTTGCAAGGCTATCCATGGCCAGTCTTTCCATCAAGCATTTTGTGGACGTGATCTGGGTTGCAGAGCCCTCTTCTGCGAACATGAATATATGAACTTGAAATAATTTGAAGGCACTCGTCCGAGGCAAGGCTTGTCATGAACGTCCTGAGCTGCTTCAGTGCTTCTCGTAATTATCTTCTCGTACTTGCTTCAGTTCCTCCTTCTCTCTGAAAAGTCATCACAAGCTGTGCGTCATCACGCACAATGCGTAAAGACAGACAAAGTCAAAGGTCCCCTACAGTGAGTAGGCTGGTGTATGGTGACGCGAAGACAAAGACGGCTCAGTCATATTTGAACAAGGGTTCCAATGGATGCTGAAACAACTTGGTGGTGATCAATTTCGACATCGGTTTGCTGAGAAGTCTCGACTGGCAAAGGTTCGTGCTCCTCAGTGAGGGAGAAGATACAGGGTGGGAATTCATAATCGGCCCGTGATTGTGCTGACCCTTTAGTTTCTTTTGTTCACGAAACAGTTTTGGGTTCAGATCGTGGCTGGGTAAACTGGGAGCAGGTGTTAGAAACTCGTCTTTCGTTGTTCACACTTTGGTGCAATGTGTGGTTGAGGCTTGTTTTTTCAAAAAAGCAGAAACTAGTTCCTTCTCTGTTGGTGACTGTTGGTGTTGGGTTGGGGTTTGTTGCGTAGTTCTAGCGGCTCCATGTCCGATGGGTGCGCCGCCGCTGATTTGCTCGACAATGGCACCGATGAAAAAGACTTGCACTCGGAGCCTGACTGGGGACAGCTAGTTACACGAAAAACAGGCAAGTTGAGTTGTTACGCAAAAGCTTTTTCTATTTAGACAAAAACGCATGACAAAGCACTGCGTTTACCAATGAATTTGACATGAGAACCTGCAAAATAGGGTACGGTTTCCAATCCGTGCGGTAGTTTTTGGACAATTTGAGCTCTCTGGGAGGTTCCTGTCACGACCTCTCTTTTGGGCTTCAGTTCTTTCAGGATTGGTGGTGAGGTCTGGAGGGGATCTCGCGAGAATGGATCCAGAGAAAGAATGGACACGTTTTGCATCCATGTTTGCTGACACTCCATCCATCCAAGGCGTGCCAACATTGGCGTGTTTTCAAAGGTCAATGTATATATGGAGTGTTTGGGTGTTTTGCCTTCACTAGTCTTTGGTGAAGGCCCCTGAACGAGGCCAACAAGGGAAATCCGAACTTCTGCAGCTAGACTCTACACCAGTTTTTGTGCGGCAGGTTTGCGAACTGTGGTGTGTTTCCACAAGTGTTGGCCTCGTCATGGGGTTTCATAGCGCATCTAGTACGCAGAACGATTGCCCGCGACCTGCCATGGACCTGGAAGAGGTAAAGAAACCAGAAATTGTGCATATTTGAGAAGGTGTGCCCATGGGCATTTCCGTTGTATATCCCCAATGCTGGCTCTCTTCTTTGGGCCCATGTTGGTTGTCGATATGGT